CAAGAATCTCACGTTTATCAGCAGCGTAGTTTATCTCAACAGGCAGTAGCCGACGGGAGTAGAAAGCAATCGGGCAATCCCCAGCACAAGCCTCGACAGTCCCATCCTCCGCGATGGTCGGGAAGTAAGTAACGGGAGGATTGTCAGTGGAAGGAAGTGGCGGAAGGATAGGCGTCAGTCGAGAAGCAGTGTCGGTAGGAAGGGGGGGGGGAGGATGAACATGGGGATAAGGTGAATCAGGAGAAGAGAGAAACGCGTGAGAAAGTACAGCTCCTACTGCAAAATTTGACGCATCAGTAGTGACGATGAAGGGACGGTCAAAATCGGGAAGGCGAAGAACTAGCTCACAAGTCTCCGCCTTCTTGAGAGTGCGAAAGACGTCTTCGCAAAAGGGTGCCCAAAACCAGGGCGGGTTCTTCCGGAGGACGATGAAGGTAAGTACGAGGACATCGTGAAGATGTCTGAGATGGTCTTCTAAGGTACGACTGTAGATCAGGATATCGTCCAGGTATACGAGAACGTATTCTTCAAGGATGTCCCTCAAGATATCGTTCATCGCCATTTGGAAGGTGGGAGATGTGTTGGTGAGGTTGAATGGCATCACGGTGAATCTGTAGTGCCTGAAGTGCGATCAAAAGATGGGCTTCGACTGGTCCTCTATGGCAACGCGGATCTGGTGGTAACCACTACGAAGATCGATGTTCGTGAAGAAGCGGTTGTCTGTCAGAAGGTCAAACAACTCATCCGCACGAGACATGGGATAACCGTTCTTAACCGTGTAACGGTTGTGTCTGCGGTAGTCAATGCAGATGTGAAGAGTTATGTCCGCTTTGCGAGCAAAGAGGACGGGTGCACCCCAAAGCGAGTTACTAGGTTTAATGAAACTCAGTCGAAGGAGCTCCTCAAGCAGACACTTGAGTTCCATTGCGTCTGGAATCGAGATTCAGTCGGGTGCCTGATGGTGGACATGATAGTCAGACACGAGTTGGATAAAATGCTCAACACAATGCATCAGAGGGATTCTGCTGTGTGAAAAATACAAAGGAAAACGCCAATACTCTCGAATCAGATCGCGAACAGAGGGCTCTAAGTCGGTCGAAACCGTGTGAGTTCCTCAACGTCTGCGTCGGCACGAGACGTATGAGTGTGGACTTGACAGTGGACGACGTAGGGGCCTGTGATGTCGACGGGGTATCCGTAGGCTAAGGGATGGATGTAGAGACGGGAACCGCGAAGGTGGAGGAAGGGTCAGGCGGATCGGGCTCCAATGAGATGAGCTCAACCTCGGGACAGAGTGGATTATATCTGGGTGAGACCGAGAGGAGGTAGGTCGAGAGGGATGTCACCCATGGTTCCAATGAAGGGGACTCGATGGGTTTTACCACACTTCGTTTTGAGAACGAGTGTCTCGGTCGCCCATTCGGCCTCCATGCCACGGAACCGACGAGACCAGGGAGTGACAATGATAAACTCGTACACAGTCTCCAGCACGTCGAACTATGCAGAGGAATGCTAGCGTCGAGGCACCTTGGTACTATCCCGTGGTTGTAGGCTGAGGAAAAAGTGGAGGTCGGTGACCGGCTGATCGAAGAAGCTTTGCATCTTGCTATCTCCGAGGGTAACAGAGATAGGAGAGCGAGATCCGGAGATAGCTCGACAAGCTTCCTTAACCACACAAGGGCGAACGAAGTCTCCTAGCGAGTCAGAGTCCCATAAAGCGTGGTACACCCTCATAGATGTCCCCAAGCATATAGGAATGATGGGGAGGGTGCGATCAGGGTCAGAGAGCATAGTGAGAAGCCAAGCATGACGTTTACATGTCTCGTGAGTCGCTCCTGACGAGCCTGAAGAATGTTAAAGTTCAGGAGAGATGACACAACGTCATCGCGAGTCACCAGCTAAGCGCTACAACGAGTTGCGCGAATGGTGCAACACGTCGGAAGTCTTGGAGAGGAAGGACTAGATGTGGCGGCATGCGGTGGGGTAGACGGTACCTCGACAGATGGCGAGGCAGAGGAAACTGCGTTTGTCGTGTCCTAAGGATCCTCTGGTGGGGTAGCCAAAAGGGCAAATCACGACTCGGTGGTCGCGAAGCCTGCTACGTGCGAGGCCTCAGCAGTACGCTGCATTGTGGCTAGCTGGATAGGACTGGCTGGGCGGGGCCAGAAGGGGACCGAGATCGGCGCTGACGAGAAATGTCAGCATAGTGCGGATGGCGGGCGGGATGGTATGGACACTGTGAGAAGGTATGTCCATCGGACTCCATCCTAGCGACAGCGAAGGCAGCCGCAACGGCCCTCGAGGGCGGCGCGCTCCTTAGGGGATAGAGCTCCGTGAGGAGGGATGAAACCCTCAGGGAGGTCTATATGAGGGACCTCGAACGTGCGAGGGAAATGAGTCGACAAGACAGAGGTGGGAGGGGCGGTATAAGAAGAAGAACAGTGAGCAGCCTGTAAAGGGTGAGGCTGCCTTAAGGAGAGAATCTCCGTGTGGAGTTGTGCAACGGTGGTCTGTAAGGTAGCCACTCGCTGGGTGCGAGGGGTCGGAGGTGCAAGAGGCAGAGAGGGTACCCTAGCGGAAGGACGAGTAACGAACTGTAGAAGAGGATGGGAGGAGGGAGGACTCCGATCCGTAGTATCATGACCGAAGCGGGAAGCGAGTAAGCCATGCCGGGATGAGTAGATGAAATTGTCTGACCATATACCTGTATCTGGGCAGTAACACCAACAGTAGTGGCCGAAGTGGCAGAGGCAGCAAGGGCCGACGGGTGTGCCGCAACAGATGGTATGGTATGAGCGGCGACAACACTCACCACTGCGGAGGAGGGGTGTTGGGCCTGACCCGCGGAGGAGGACTGTTACATCTTCGACTCACACGGGTCCTACCGGACCCGACTTAGGGCCGGAGGGACACACCAGGGCCTAAAGGCCCGACCTTTGGGGTTTACAGGTCCTAAAGGCTTGATTTTGGACTATCACCCATCGGGTAGGCCCAAACGACACTTCGTTTGGGCCTGGCGACGCTCTTGAAGCTGCCGCCCGCCAATTGAGGCTGAACTGTCCATCTGGACGGTTCAGGGTCTGGCCTGGCCTCGCAGCATTGAGGCCAGACCATTGCCCACCGATATAAGTACCGATATCCGCCTCAGAAAGGAAATCGGCCTACCGGAACTCTACCGGCACGGCATGGTCAGTGCTAGTGCACTGTTTGATGCGCTAAACTTAGCGCAGGGGCTGAAGCAGGAGCGCAGCATAGCGCAGCAGCGAGCGGAGCAGCAGCGGGCGATTGAGCTTGCACGGCGGTTATCACCGCCTGAGGTATCGGGAGCTTGGAGGGTCTCTCCTCCTCTCCCTCGCCAGTCCCCTCTCTCTCTCTCTCTCCTCTTCCTCCTCCTCCTTCTTCTTCTTCTTCTTCTTCTTCAGATTGGAGACTATCCAGTTGGACAGAGATCAGAGTTGGATTTCGGTGATACGAGACTGTGGT